TGTCTAGCTCTAGTAGGTTCGGTGTGATATTGTAGGGATAAATTTTTTATATTATTTTTTGATATAATTTTTACATGACATTAAATGAGTAGATATTTTTAATATTATGAGTTTCATATGAATTAAAAGAATCAATCATTTAAATGATATATTAAATTATACAAAAAAAAGATAAAAAGATTGTATAAAAATCCCCATTACATTTTCCTTCTAGAAAAGAAATCTGTTTTGGTACATTAATGAATTCCCGTTCTGACCTAGCCATATCATTTTGGATCACAAAATGAACCGATTCTCGAAACAATTATGTAAGAGAAATGGTATGGAAATAATATGATTTTTGGTAAATGCTATATTATAATATTATATAAAATTATAAGTTTATAATTTTATATGATATTAAATAAATTTGATGTGATATTAAATATATATATATAATATAATAAATAAAATTTTAAATAAAAATTAATTATATTAATGTATTATATTATATATTTATAATATTATGTAATATTATAATTATAATATTTTGATAATTTTTTTAAAATTTATTAATAAAAAAATACAAACTTTTTATATATTATTATAAGTGCAACCTCTAAATACGTATTTTTATTATAACCATAAAGATTAATTGGATGTACACTTTCAAAGTCCTCTTCTCATGCGCACTCGCAGCATTAATTGTATTGATTAAAGTGCAAATTTACTAAAATTAAGGTTTTAATTTTAATTTTTATAAAGTCAATCTTTTTTTTTTCTCAAATTTTTCCATATTCAAAAAAAAAAAAAAAAAAAAAATCCTCCTCACCCTATACCCAGCAACACGCCAGCGAAAAGGAGTTGCTTTTGCTTATAGAATGCCACGACTTGGAAAGACAAATATATAAAAGTTGATCAATTTCAATTACATGACTTGTCTTTATCATTTCTAACTTAACTCTAAACTTATGTAGAAAGCAAAATTTTCTTCACAATCTTTAGAGTTCTAATCTCTAACATTTTTTTTTAATAGAAATTATAGGTTAAATCTC